CATGAATATATATCAAATGTAAAATGCACAAGTGTCTCCACAGTGTTCTACACAGTGGTGCATTTCTCCACGTATTTATAGCCAAATTCTGGTCCCGCTCCGACACCTCTATACCAACGCCAAAGCAAAGTTCATCGCCGCCATGGAACGCTGCGACAACATCCGACACCGTTCCAACAACCCCATGTACGCTGATAAAACGCTAACAACCGCTCCACCGACGTTTGTGCAACGTTTAATCGCCGCCCGGGCAACGCTGGCGAAGCAGCGGTGGTCCAGCGTTTAAGATTTCTGCGTTGGTCTAGCGGATTCAACCGTCCACGAACTTGCGTCTAGCGGTGCCAAACTTTGACTGGGCGTTGGTGGAGCGGTGATAAACTTTGCCAGGGCGTAAAATTGTCCCTTTTTCAACGCTCGCAATATTTTGAGCAGCTCAAAACTTTTGGAGCGTTAGGATGGCCACTCGAGAAACATCCGCGTTGGCCGAGCGTTTACAGCGTTGCTTTAACGGATGCCAACTTTTGTTAAACGGTGGTGAACGTTTACGAGCGTTGATGATTTTTTTCAACGTTCAAGGAACGCTCCAGCAATGTTTAGGCGGTGTGACCGGGCCTTTAGATAAAGCGTTTGTACTGGGTTTTAGGATAAATAACATCTGTCGGGTCTAATAGCCCTCAGCTATTATTTATCATAAACCCAGTACTCATACTTTATCCATAACTTAACCGCATTTCATCCTAACACCAATGTAGAAATTGCATCATTCATGATGTTAATGATATGCTAATTTCCTCTCTTTTAATTCCATTCCTTATATCATATTCCTTAAATCATGCTCCTTATGTATAAATTACTTATTTCTTAATCTTATATGTCATCAACATTCATGTTTATAATATGCTAACTTCTCTTTTGTTCCATTCATTAAATTATGTTCCTAGCTTTTTACATTATTTTATGTAAATTCTACTTTTAAAAGTATGTAATCATTTTGGGCATATGTTTGGCTTCACTAAAATTTAGATCTCACAAGTCAAGTCCTGAATCAGAATCAAAATGGGTAAGAACATGTTATAGAAAATCAAATTTTAAAAATCGTTAACACTTTTTAAAACCACATTTCTAGATTTTATTTTACATGTAGATTTAAAATATGATATCACTTTGTCTGAATTTTGAATATTTCATGATATAAATCAAGATTATTTCAAGTTGCATCTCATCAATTGCAATCAATTTATAATCTCACAACCATAACATGAGACTTATTATTCATAGATGTGTGTGTTCTGTGACATACCAAAGGGCTAACATGTGTTAACTGAGATATATACAGGGTGGTCCAAAAAATGGGATACTCGTATCTCAATACTTCTGTCCTTCAGGGACTGAATAGAAGTAAAGGATTTATGGTTCACTAATTATGTTAGTTCTCCCCATACGTGATTGGGTGATCTGGGGAGCCAGTGATTAAGGGGGGGGGGGTGAATCTAGGCACATTTTCTTTTAAACATTTGACATTCTTGTGGGATCTATTGCTAAGAGCCCCATCTTGTTGGAAAATGTAATGATTCCAAAATGAGCTCTTATCAGAATGGTCCAAAAAAATAAATAATTGGATCATCCGATATTAACGTCTGCGACAACCACATATTGGGAGAACTAACAGAATCGGTTTATCATGAACCCCTTACATCTACTGTCCCTTACTAAGGATAGAATTGTTGAGAAGTGAAATTCATTGTCTCAACAGCATATCAATGATACTATTGACCAGTTTAGGCCAAAATTGAGGGCTACAATTGATCAAAATGGTGGATATATTGAACGTCTGTTTATGTAAATGAAGTTGACAATAAAACTTGTTTTTTTGCAAGTTTTGGAAAACCTGTTTTGAAACGAAAATGACGTCATTTATATTATGGATGCTGGTTGACACATTATAATAAATTTGAACTTATGATATGCCAAATTAAAGATGAGTTAATACCCTATCCATTGGTATATAATATGACTTGTTTTCATCAAGAAAATCAATATTTATTTTGAAATACGAGTGTCCCTTTTTTTTTGGACCACCCTGTATATAATGCATAGAATAATGAATGCAGCACTTTTAATTAAGCACTTGATTAACTTTTATCAGGTTACTGATTGGTGAGGTTTTCCACATTGTTAGATGTTCATCTTCCTATGTATATGCATTCTTTTAAAATTAAGGTTTTCACTTGCATATAATAGATTTATATAAACATGAAATTCAGATGGCCTAGGCTGGACTTACCTTCTCTCTCAAAGGGCAACTCAATATCATATGAAGAACCAGACACCCATTCATTGACCATCCTTATATCCATTTTTGATCCTAGTTCAATATTCTAAAAGCTCACTGAGTTTATCCATTAGAAGTCATCTGCCATAACTGCATATATTATTAACTTTGGATGATTTATCATGATCGATTTGACTAAAGATCCTCTTATATCCATTGTTTTTATTGTCTATGTGTGCTGAATTCATAAATTTACCAAATAAACCAAATTCTGTTAGCACTTCATCGATCCAGTTTATTCAATATATAATTTGTTACAGGTTTTCAATATTTTGTATCATTTCTATTTCTGTAAATAATTACTGTTTTCTCTCATATCTGGATATAATACCGTTGTATATAACTACAAAATAGTAAATAGTAAATGTGTTAAATGGCGTGCTGATTTATGACCAAACATGGCAATCACCTGATCGGTTGCCTCAAACATTATTTACAAACTTTGTTTTATTTACCTCAGTTCCTTGAACTCTTTTATGAGATTGAAGGTTAGCTATACAAAGTTCAATAAGGGTAAGTATTTATTAAATAGAAATATTTACCCCTATTGAATACTGCAATGGCTAGACATATAGCACAATTGAATGAGATTATTGGTAATCCTGCCTGTATATAAAAAATTTAGCGGTCACATTAGGTAATATTATAAAATGGTTAAGAAAAAGCCAAGGAAAAGGTGGTTGATACAGACTTGAAAAAAGCATTCTGATCTTATAAGGCAAAATGAAAGTTCATCAGCATTTTAAAAAGTGAGCAAATTTAGATTTTAGCCATGGGTTTAATATCAAGGAGAGAGTTGTTTTTACAAAGAATATTGCATTATTAAGTTATATTCAATCAAGGCCAGAAGGATCATAAAGAAGGGGACAAAAAGGCCTTGGGACAATAATTTCTCAATTAAAGCCTTATTGGTAAATGTTCAACTCCTTGAATGTCACTATGATCTTTATGAATATAAATGAATGCAAGATAATTTGAATGGAATAATCCCATATGGGGGATCTGAAAGAACCCCCCCCCCACCCCAAATTCTTCAAAACATCATGCAGTTTTCACCAATTTGAGCACTAGACCTAAATTGTCAAATGTTACCCTCCAGAGGTTTTTAAAAACCGAACCCCTTGGCAAAATCTGGCTTTGAGCTGTCAAATGTACCACAAATCTGACTTATTTATTGCTTTGCAATGGATGAAGTTATAAACAAAACTTACCTTATTTGCATCCATGTGCATTTGCACGTTCATGTAATTCATGTTGTCATTTTTTTAACATTGGAAAAGAGAGAAAATAAAACTAACAATCATATATAAAATATGTTAAGTTAAATATGATATCTTAAAGTAATGTACCACAAGGGCCTTGCCAATTTTTGAAATGAAAATCTTGAATTACATGCAAAGTAAATATTGAACATATTTTGATTGGCAAGAATAGTTTGACAATTGTGAATCAAGAGTTCAAGGTCATATGACTACAATATTTTATTATGTGAAAGTTTTTTTGTAGTCATTCTGGTGGTTATGCTTATCAATTTTTTTGAATGAGGAAATAAGAACAAGAGACAAACAAACATTATCAACAGAAACAATAAAACAGATCTTTTTCCCTGAATATCTGTACTTTGTGGAATATAACTCATGAGAGATGTAAGGCTATGTATTGACTTTAACAGAATGAAATATTTGTATCAAACCATCCCTATAACACATTCTTTATAATTTGGGCAAGTTCTACGCTCTCATGGCTTGCTTTTGGTTCACAAATAGCAAATATTTAATGTTGTGTTGAAGAGTTCATTTAATTATCAATTCATATAAAGTTGTACATGCTTGTGCTGTTTAACTGCTAGAATGCTTGTAGTCATTAAGTTTTCTGATTCAGGTATATAAAAACATAACAAAGCATGAATTAGAGTCAATGAATTGAAGCATTCAAGTCTATTTGTGTAAAAAATTAAACATTTACTTTACAATCTGATTTGAATGGCTATTAGGTATAAACTAATATTTCAAACTCTATGTATTAATATCAATAAATTTAACCTTATCAAAAGACCTTCTTTTTTGAATAAACAACATCACTATATTTACTTTCAAAAAGAAAGTATGCGCAATTTGGCAATTAAGCATTTTCTGTAAATATAATAATAAATTTAAGATTTAATAATAAATTTAATAAATAAGTAACATAGATTGCCCAGTAATTTCAAAACTGAACATTAATAAGTTTATTTACTGTGTTCACCAGCAATAGAAGAGAGAACACAAGAACTAAAATCTCATAAGAGACATGTTTAAAAACACAAAATAGAGTGAAAAGAATGAAACCAGCAAGGAATAAAGAGCAAAAATATTAAATTGAAACTCTATATTTTATAGAAATGTAAAAAATCAGACACTTCATTCAAATTTTATGGACAAATTATGAGAAATATGCATTTGTAGACGATCATTTCAAGCCTGAGATATGTACTTTTTTATTATAGGCAATTAATCTAACTGAGATAAAGGCTAGAAGCAAACAAGTTCAGTTCATTTTTAAAACCCCTTCAAGTGTTCTAGCAAGAGCGAGCAATGTACTTTATACATGTAACACCACACTGAACCTTTTTATGACAAGCACAGTTTGATTTTTAGCTTGTCAAAATGTAAAGAAATATGTGAATGTGGGTACATGTTACGCAGAGCTGTATTGACAGGAAGTCATTATTCACATTCATAACACGTTGGTGCTGGAGCATCCAGGCATATGTAGGCCAGCCTAACATTCACGGATCACACAATACAACACAATAATCTACAATAAGGTCAGTACAATAAGCTATTATAAGGCCAATACAATAAACTACAATAAGGTCAAAACAATTGACTTCTAATAATACTCTTCACATCATTATCATGCATTATGTCTAAGATCTTATGTGGTCAATGCTCATTGTTTTAGATTCTCTGACATACTTAAGTAAACATACAAACATGAAACATAAACAGCAGATTTGAAATATTTTGAAATATGATCTTTACATGATTTTCTCGTTGGAGGAATTGGTAGTATAAATAACATCCACTGAGATAGTGTATAATACATATGGTGTTAATGTTTGTTTCCAGTAGAATGGACCAGTCAACACGACCTGGGGAAAAACGACGCAATTTAAGGCAGTCAACCTCAGAACCACCAGTAAAATCTCCGGGAACTATGGATGGTTTCAGCTGTGACTTTTCACGAATATCTATCACATCAATGGAAGAACCAATCTCTGAGGGATCATATCAAAACAATGTGACTGTCAATGGGGTTCATCTTCAGCCAGAGGAGCTTCCCGGGTTTATGGCTCCTTATACACCCTTAAGGAATGTTTATGACTTCTCAGACAACAATAACCAATCAGAATTTACACAACAGGCTGTTCAAGTTCAACAACAACATCAATCTGAACCAATGAACTACATTAAATGCAATGAATGTCCTCAACAGGAAAACTCCACTCTACCCAGAAGGCACGCTGTCCCCAAATACCGCAAAAAGAGACGTGACAGCCAATGTTTGATGGACTGTTATAAGACTGCGAAGGAGGAGCGTCGTCGTAAAGTTAGCTGTAAAGAAATCACATTGGAGTTTTTACGTCGTAAATCAAGTGGGGGTGGCAACCAAAAGCCAGAGATCAGATCGGTGAGCCCATTTGACGACAGCATTTCAGAGCAGCATGAGTCGCCACATATTATATCACCACTTATGTTCAGATTCTTGGAGGATACCGACATAGCCAAACAAGTGGATTCTGGTAAAATACCTCCTCTGAAGTCGATGCAGGGCCGACGTGGTCGTAAAACAGGTATAGTGGCACCACCACCCCAATGGCTCAATGAAAAGGTTCATCAGGACAATGCTGACTCATCTGATACAAGCAGTGTAAACTTAAGCCTTGGTGAAAATATTCATTACCCCTCTCCCAGCCATTCGAATGTCTCAGACAGTGTCCTGCTTGGCCTAGACCAAAATCAGGGCCCTCGTATCAGCACTGGCTCTTTCCCAGGAGAGCCAACCATCCCCGCATTTAACCGACCGCTGTCTCCAAGTGCAAGATGCTTTAGTATGGAGGGATACAATGGAGCAGAGATGCGGGAACAAAAACAGGACACTCAGATATTGTTATTTGATTCAACACCAGATTTGACCATTGATAACCCGCGTTTCCCGAGTATGCGTAACTGCCGTAGAGGGGCGATCTGTTATGACTATATTGACACTCTTACATGGAGGGAACCTCCACGACAAGCTGCTGGAAGTAGTATAAGCAGCACAAGTGAGACCCCATATTGAATCTGCTTGGAGGATAAACCATCTGGTGAACCTTCAATTAAAAACATACAAGTACAAATTTTAAAGGGCCAATATATAGTTTAAACCACTTTGGTCAATACAGCAGTCTTCTTAATATATTATTACTCAGCCTTTAAGACCAAAAGCAGACCAAAAGTGTACCTTGTTGAGAAGTCCAGACTGACAGTTAACCTACAAAAAGGTCTAATTATGTCTGAAGGCTGAAATAGACAGAATAGACTGAAAGGGCACCCGTTTACTTATAATTTTTAATAATAGAAAGTAGAAGTCTTCATAAACCTATATCTAATTGATTGGATAATGTAATATTCTAAAATATAATAAGACCTATCCTAATTACATGTATTTTTTTCATTGGGAGAATGATTTAAATGTAAGGTATCTCATTGCTAGAGTTTCAGCCCTCTAACAATCTATAGATTAAGAGACATAGACTGAAAGGTTTAGACTGAAAGGTCTAGACTTAAAGGTCTAGACTGAAAGGTTTAGACTGAAAGGTCTAGACTGAAAGGCCTAGACTGAAGTTGTTAAGAGTTCTACAGTTAGAACATCACTATGTCTGAATCAAAATTTTCAGTAGTTTTATAAGAAAATGCCAAAGAACAAATTAGCTAACTGAAGAACTCAGCAATTGTGCATAGTTACTCTCCTTGTCAATTCTGGTTCTTCTAATAGTCTAATAAATAAAATTCACTTTCATTTGCACAATTCCCAAAATTCAATTGCAGAGATCGTAATTCACTAATACACAATTTACTAATTTCTAAAATTTCAACTGCAGAATTCACAAATTTCACTTGCAGTATTGTAACATTCCAAAGGGATGTAATATTAATATTTACATGTTTATCCTATACACCTATACATGATTTAACCTATACAACCTGGGTGATGGGGCAGATATATTATATCATGGATAATCCAAATATCCTGAACCTCATATAAGATAATCTCTTTATCCATGTCAAAAATGTTGCTACTGTTCCATTGGCAAGTTTTGTTATCTATTAAAGGGCTAAAACAATACAGCGACATGAATGCTGCTGTGATTTGAGTTCGACTATGATTTCTACGTGCCTAGCTAAAATTTGAGGTTTCATCAAGTTTCATTTTTTGCCCAAAACTTATCACTTTCGTTATTTCTTCTGTACCATCAGAAAGGATTCTGTTATTCTACTTAGCTAGATATAGTTAATCTGTAGGCTTGAATTACTAGAAGATAATGCCATCTTTACTGCATCCTTTAGAAGGTTGTGATAATATAGTCTGAATTGCCATAGAAACAACACGCATTTATGGTGATAGGAGGATTATATGTTTCACTGTCATCTCCTATAAATTCACCACGCAAATATGTGTGAAATGGTAATACAATACTGCTTCTCATTTCATGTAAGTTTTAATATCTCATGCATAACTATGATGCAATAAAAATACAACTGAATGCCTTTTTGGACCTGAGAAAAACAATGAAAGATGTAATCATCCAAAATAGTCACACAGACAGAATTAACCAATCACATTCATTCAATTATTACAAGATGGAATATAACAGACCTGCTCTATCTATAAGATATTCTACAAATGATTCAGATGCTCATAATGGTGTCACATATAATAAAACATATCTTATAGAATTGCTGTAACATATTAACTTTGGAACCAGAGGCTTTATGCAAGACTGACATATCCAATTAGCACAGGTGCAGTGTTTCCTCCTCTTTGTAGTGTTAATATGTGGGCGACACTTGTACAGGGTGACCAAAAAAATGCCACCCAATAATTTTGGAATAACTCTCTCAATAATTTAGGAATCTTCATGATTTTGTATGTATAGATCGAGTGTTCAACAGAGAAAAAATTGCTATGCTTGCAAGAGATATCCCGTTTTCCATAGAGGCATGCTCCGACAAAAAATCACTCAAAATTGTAAAAAACTAGAAAATTATTAAGAAAAATGGATAGACATGACATATTATTGATAATACGTGTAAAAGCAATCCAAAAGAAAACATCTCAATTTCAGAAAATATTATATTTTATGTATTATTGAACATTTTTTGATGATTCCACCGAGAGCATGCTTGGAAAGAAAATGTGATATCTCTAAATCTGAAAGTTGTTGATACTATCCAAGTATAACAACCTTTGTTCCATTGAACACTCTACACAAAAAGTCAAGTAGATTACCTAATTATTGAGAGACTTATCCCAAAATAGTATGTGGCATTTTTTGGGGGTCACCCAGTAAATACATTACTATAGCACCATTAAATCTGCATATCGAGCGAGACAAAATTCTTTTTTCTTACCTTGTGGATATGGAGGAACATTAACTCTTTCTGTAGTAAATGATTGTTCTTCTACTTGACGGGCTGCCTCTGCTAGTGCCCCACTCTGTAACACAGAAAATAAGTGCATATAAGTGCATGTACATATACAGTATGTACCCTATGTAAGAAAGATGGCCATCTCTGTAATAATCAGTATCCTAATCTGTTAGTCATTAAATGTCAGTACATGTATATGTATACGGCCTATCGAACAACCATGGCTGGCATAAAAACGAAGTATATAGCAAAAATCATAAAATAACACACATAAAATGGCCATCATTTTCAAAATGGTTGCTCACTAGCCAAATTGTCATCAGAAAGTGTAATACGCTTCTAAGTATCCACATACGCATATATTTTTCAAAATGGCCGCCTTCTAGTCAAAATGTCACAAGACAGTATGCCATGCTTATGAGTATTCACATATCAAATATAAACAAAAATCACTCTACTACTTTTTGAATTATTTGTAAAATAACACATGTAAAAATGGTGGCCATTTTCAAGATGGCCAACTACTCCCCAAAGTGTCATTAGACAGTGTGCTTATAGTATTCACATATCAAATATAAATTAAATGACTCCACAACTTTTCGAGTTATAGTAAAAAATGTAAAAAAATAGTACTGTGGGTAGTGGGCTCACATGGTATTGCTCAGAAATCTAAACCATTCAGCTGATAATCTAGAATATTTAATTTATGATCTGGACCATTTAGCTGAGAATCTAAACCATTCAGCTGATAATCTGGAATATTTCGCTTCTAATCTGGACCATTTAGCTGATAATCTGGACCAATTAACTGATAATCTGAACCATTTAGCTGAGAATCTGAACCATTCAGCTAATAATCTGGACTATTAAGATAATAATCTGAACCATTTAGCTGATAATCTAAACCATTCAGCTGATAATCTGGAATATTTCGCTTCTAATCTGGACCATTTAGCTGATAATCTGGACCAATTAACTGATAATCTGAACCATTTAGCTGAGAATCTGAACCATTTAGCTAATAATCTAAACTATTAAGATAATAATCTGAACCATTTAGCTGATAATCTAAATCATTCAGCTGATTATCTGGAACATTTTGCTTATATTCTGGACCATTAAGTTGATAATCTGAACCATTAAGTTGATAATCTGAACCATTTAGTTGATAATCTAAACCATTGAGAAGAATATTTAACCAATAATCTGGACCATTTAGCTAATAATCTAAACCATTCAGCTGATAATCTGGACCATTTAGCTGATAATCTGAACCATGTAGCTAATAATCTCACACAATTGCTGATATTCCATGGATTAACAGATAAAGTTTACTATATAGAGGAGGTCTTAATTTAGTTTGCTAATTTGTTCTTTAGTATTTTCTTATGCAGATGATAATCTTAACAATGAAGCTAATGATCTAAACCATTCAGCTGATAATCTGGACCATATTTAGCTGATATTCTGGTCTAATAAGCTGATAATCTGGACCACTGAGTTGATAATCTGGACCATAAAGCTGATAATCTGAGCCTTTTAGCTTATAATCTGGGCCATTTAGCTGATAATTTGTACCACTAAGCTGATAATCTGAACCATTAAGTTGATAATCTGAACCATTAAGCTGATAATCTGGACTATTTAGCTGCTAATCTGAACCATCAGGCAAATAATCTGGACTATTTAGCTGATAATCTGGACAATTAAGTTGAGTTGATAATCTGGACCATTTAGCCGAGAACCTGGACTGTTTAGCTGATAATCTGGACCACTGAGCTGATAATCTGGACTATTTAGCTAATAATCTGGACCATAAAGCTGATAATCTGGACTATTAAGCTGATAATCTGAACAATTTAGCTAATAATCTGGACCATTTAGCTGATAATTTGTAACATTAAACTGATAATCTGAACCATTTAGCTGATAATCTGGACTATTTAGCTGTTAATCTGAACCATCAAGCAAATAATCTGGACTATTTAGCTGATAATCTGGACTATTAAGTTGAGTCGATAATCTAGACCATTTAGCTGAGAACCTGGACCGTTTAGCTGATAATCTGGACCATTTATCTGATAATCTGAACAATTTAGCTGCTAATCTGAACCATTAAGTTGAGTTGATAATCTGAACCATCTAGCTGAGTATCTGAACCATTATATAAAAGCTTGCATATAGCAATATCGTATACAAATGAGTGTGAAGGTCAATTTACAACAGACATATCCAAATCATAATATAAAAAATTCAGACATACCGACCTAACAATGATATCAGTGTAATCAATATCCTTCATGAAGATCTCTAATGCTACACATATTCCTAATATAATCCCAGTTGTATAGCTATATGCTTACTATATCTAGTCCCTTCAAGGCATTTTCATAGATACAACACATGTGAAAAATCAATGGTTGATTGTTCAGTTTATCATAACACATTTGTATACCAGCATTTAATAAAAACATCACTTTGGTTTGATGTTTAACATAAAGTAAGTTTATCAACCATAAACAAATCAAAAGTCTGACTTTCATAGTAATGTGGAAACATGAGTACTTGCATTTTAAAATCAACACTTTGATTGAAATTTAGAGAAAGTGAGTGAAGCATCATATGGGAGATATTGAATAACATGTAGAGTATCATTATTGATTTTTGTATGTGTTGATTATAATAAATCAACTTCTCTCATGACACTATGTATACTTAAATAGGTCATAAAAACTGGAGTAGAATCCAAATATCACCCCATGCACACAGATCTAAAATTACATTTGTATTTGTACTCGACATTCAACAGGAAACTAAAAACATTTTGTCACCAATGTAGCACATTATTTTTTACTGCTTAATAAATGGTGACTGACAGTCACATTAACATCACGGAATTTTAGAACAGAAACCCAAAAATGGCCACCTTAACATTTACCCAGAATGCCCCAAACATATTCAGTTCTAAACTTTTGTAGGTAAAAACATCCCTGAAAATTTAAGATGAATCCCTCAAATAGTTTGGCTGGAAACCTGTAGGCAAGATTTATTGGGATGCCTACCTGCCCGCCTATCAGACCACCCGCCGCTTGGCAAACTGATCACAATATAGCACCCAAGGGTGTGATAAAAGCCTATTCACCTTTCCATAAAGTCAGCTCATGAATATTATAATGAGCCGCTTAAAAATCTATGACGTTAATGATGGAAACTTTTCCCGCGAAAGCACAAATCTGGTTGAGTTACATGTAAATCTCTGGGTACTTTGAGTCAATTTAGCTGCTTCAAAATGGTAAGTTGTCATAAAATAATCATCGATTTGGTATTATACATCACATTCACATATGTTTATGCCCTTTTGGTAATAATATTATTGAATCAAGGTTAGTAATTGACGAGAGATTCATTGCCGGTCATTGATCTGTTGACAACATTGAATGGATGTACAGCAGACATTAACATTAGTTATCCGTCTCGGTAGGTGTAAAAGATGAGAACAATTATCCCAAACAAAAGAAAAAGTTCCAATTAACTTCATCGAGTAGAGTTTGTTCTTTACATTTGAAAATAATGAGAGTACGCTTAGAAAACAAACCTGAATATGCAGGGTGTCCTGAAAACGTCACTTGTGAAACCTCACTTGTCATAGGATAAATTAGTTATGTGATGATCGGTTTTGAATAATGATCAATGGAAAGATTTCAAAGAAAGAGCGAATATCGTATAATATTTATTCATGATATGTTGTCATTGCTGATCGTTATTGACATCGCTGATGGCGAATTAATACCAAAAGGTAAAGATATTGTATACGTACTATGAACAAATTTCATTGGTAAATAATAAATTAATGGTTTAAGTCTAGCTTCTTGGATAGAAAATTTGGCTTCGAAGTTATCTTTTTAATAGCCAATGGGCGTTCTCCAAGTTTGGAGGATGAAATGGAAGTTATTAGGCCCAGTTGCGTTTAGCGAGAAACCCGTTGTACGTTTTACTGAAATGGCAACTGGAAAAAGTTCCAATTAAAAGAAAGTTAGTTTAGTGATGATCTTGAAAGCCCATGGTTTTAGTTACCATAACATATTCATGCTTTTGAAAATATTTTGTTAATGTGTATTTTGGAGATGGGATCGATCCTCAAAAACAAAATGTCAAACAAATCGTGTTTTAATTCGATTGGTTTCGTTTGCGCGAATGTCACTCATGGTGAATTTCTGATGGAACTTCTTACCACAACATATATCCATTTAACTGGATATTGTATGACCACTATCAAATAACCGAGTTGTTTGTAATTTCACAATTTACATTTTTTGTTTACAATCGCACGAGACATGTGAGCCCGGGTGTGTGAGGCTGACCTGAGAAGTCTTAACCTTTAACAGACCACCGGCGGCCGCGTCCGCCCATTCAAAATTACCGCCAGAATCCACCGGCGGATCCGGACGACACAAATCTAACTTTTGAAAACTTTACTTTTTCCCGCCGTTCTTATGATCCAATTAGATTGCCCGATTTATTCAGTCCTTAGTAGGTGACTTCCTGTTGACCTAGAAATGGCGATGTTTCGAAAAATATTTCTCAATTCAACAATTTAAACAGTGTTTAAGTCGTTTTTAGTGAACAAATCGTACAAAATGACGGCCAAATACGATCACAACGAAAATGTGGAGGAAATGGATTGCGATTTCGAGCTCTTTAGGCTCTTGGAAGCCGATAATGGTCATCGAAAATAGAAACTAGAATATTTTCTGAACTGAAAAGAAGAACATTCGATCGCTGCAAATTCAGTTTTGGATTCTGACCAGACGTTGAATCTCCCGAGGGGCGAAACGGCGGATTCCGGAGGAGTATTCATGGTATATTTATGCCCAGTCCTGTTTATGTACGAAAAAAATTCATGAGAACATTTTTCTCATGAGCCACGCTAGTGTAAATTCCCTTTGTGAAAATTTTATCCAGATTCATTCAGTAGTTATTGAGATATTAATTATTTAGTCCAGGCATATCATTTTTGAAAAATAAGTCAGATACGTGGGATATATTTGCTGAAATAAGTCAGAGTGCAGAAGGTTAATAAACAATAGTTCTGTAAAAAATGATTAATTTAAATTAAATAAGGTTCAGAATGAAAGTGCCCCGTCCATATTTCATATTTGATTAAAAACAATTAGTGCATTGGGCAAATAGAATTTTTTTTATTGTAGTTTATTCAAAATATTCCTATGCTGGCTGTACTAATTCTTCAAAACTTTCAGTCATTGATGTCATTGATTTGACTCATTTGCATACAACCAATTAGCGCGCCGGAAATTATCGATTTTCTTTACTTTGTGGAAAGGAAAGGTGAATAAGACTGTGATATTAAATATTAAGTTAAAAATATTAAGTTAAAAATTGTTTGATCAACTCGAATCTAGATTTTCATCATTAATATTCAAAATTTAATAAAAGTGATATCATATTTGAAATGTGCATACCTTTAAATGGTTACAAATATCTAAAAATAAATAGAATGATGACAATAAAGGACTAGAATTAAAAAATGTGAAAACTTGATTTCTTGGTCAGTTAGACTTCCTATAAGATTATAAAGAGAACAGAGGCTATATCAACCAAGCTAGGACCACTTATAACAACCATATTCCTATAAGGGGTACACTCCCCTTTATAAGGATGGCAATCAGAAGTCAATTTTTGGAATACCAATGAAGCCAATTCAGAAGAATTCATCAAATTTTTAATAAATTTCTTAACTACAAGTACTTTTATTAAACAGGCAATATACCTATTTTTGAAGAAAAGGGGATGAAATATTATTTGAGACGTATTACTCACACACTTAATCAAATATGATAAAATCTTTAATTTGGGATAATACTGAAGTGAAAAAAATTACTCGCATAGAAAACAGCATTTGAAGTTCAGAGATCGAAAAAAGTGAATTACCACTCTTCACAAATTGCATCTTTTGAATAACTCTTGGATTAAAAGATGGCGTATGTTTGAAAATTCTATTAAAATCAATGGATAATGTCATGCAAAAAACGTCGCCATCTTTCTTTGGCATTGCTAAAAACTTGACATATATAAATTGATAGATTGAAAATATGTATTTAATAATCTAGTGTCAACTCTAATGTGGTCTGTTTGAGGTGTTTTTGATGTCAAATAAAAGATCGGGTACTTATCAATCCATTGGAAATACTATGAAGATCAAAAGTAAAACTTCAATTTGCCGATAATGCGCATTTAGTTCCTTTAAGGAAGAAAAATAAGATTCAAACATCGACAGGTTTTGATATGCTATCCAAATGTGCCAAACTTATGGAGGAGAGTGTACATTTTTCAAAGGAAGATGATTCTATATAGTTATTTTAAAATAAGAAAAACATAAACGTAAGAAAGATAAGAGAACAGTTAAAATAATGAAAATAAATAAGGAAACTACAACCATTGTCAAAAGCTTCATTAGATTTTCACTAGAAAATGACATACTTTAATCCCTACAGAGGTCATGCAAGGCCAAATGCTTTGATTCAATGAACTGATTTTTTCAGATGGGTTGAAGTTACTTAATTTGTAATTTTAGGATATTTAACTTTAAGACAAAGATGATTTGAAGATTGCAAAAACAATATGGCAAGTGTGTGATTCTATCCAACAAACTTCAAAAATCAAAAATGAAACTTTTGACAATACCTTAAAAAATTACAACAAAGCTACTTACCTGTATAGTGTTAGATAGTTGCCGTAGTTACGACAGAAAGGAAGCAAGTTAAGGCTGGTTAGAAAGAACGGCTCATATAGCAAGGTACAACACACACTTGGCCAGTTAATTTTTAACTTATCACATACTGCAAAACAAATGTATATGTTAATCATTAATTTGTTAAAGGCCCTATGCAAATATTTTTTTATGATTCAAACATGACTTTGATAGTCATATAAATGATTAATTTGTGAAGTTAGACTGAGAATCTTTGAAATTAAGAAATATACAGGGTGTCCTTAACCACATTCAGTGCTAATATTGTCTAGCATTGTAAGAAACTTAAATCCAAGATAATTCTTACTTAAAGAAGTAGTGTCTCAGAGGAAAATGAATTACTAAAGTAACCCCCTTGATATTTTTGCATTAGGAGATGTAAAACAGCTTCACATTGATCTTCTCACAAACTGTCAGACACCAACTCATACGTATACGGTGTCAATTTCATGATTATGCGAAGGAATAAATTATTTACTGGGCAGTCAGAAATTTGAAAAGAAATTTAAAAAACGCTCTGAATCTGAGAATCTGAAATCTAGAACACATCTTTAACAACAATCACTTAACAGGTACCTGATGTATCTTTTAACTGATCTTTAGTTAAACCAATACACTGAAGTGCCCAAAACCTGATTGAATGTATATCACCATTATTATATTGCATTCATACTACAAATTCCAAGTCAGTGTCACTAGCAATGTGACACTTATGAAAAAGACCAGTATCAAAATCTAACAGATGCCAGAAATGAGATTCTGATAACATACTAAATACATTTTACATCTTTCAGATTTCAATGTTAGAGAAGATACTGCACATGTTATAATTAAAGTTTAAAGCCTATCAACTAAAGGTTTATAATTAACTTTATACCCATGTGCATACCATTAGTTAATATACTAGATGCGAGTAGAAATAATCTTGATTTAAAAATTCATTAAACATTCAAAATTTAGTATCATATTTGAAGTGTACATGTAAAATTGTATTTAGAGATTCCCCATAGTCACAAGATCACAAAAAGTCACAAAAAGTGAAATATCTCTTCTTGTGTTGGGCAGATATTTTCTTTTACTGGACATATTTTCATTTGTATAATTATCAGACACATAAGGATCATATGAAAATGAATCCGCTTAAACTGATAATATTCCAGTTTAAAAATGTCAACTTCTTTGAATGTACCACCCTTAAATTGTACCATATCACAGACTTAGTAACCATATGATCAAACGATATCTCAAAATATGAGTCCACACATTGAAGTTGTTGATCTCAACTTGATTAGAAGGTATCGACTTTATTATATACTGCCATGTTAATTAATCTGAACCATCCTCCTGGTGCTGAAACTGGTAACTACCTTCTCGCATCTGGGTAATCAAAAATATAATTGCGTTAACTGCAAGATATTCTCCTTGGTTGCATTTAGTATTTGAACTGTATTATACATCCCAATTACTATGACAACTTAAAGGCATAAACATGTTACAGACACTGAACACCAAACACTGTCCACTAAAAAGTTGGAGACTATAACAATAAGTCACCAAAAATTGAAAATAAATAAAATTTTATGACAAAATTAACTCCAAAACGATCAAAATATAATTTATCACAGAATTTCCTTTTTCCATGTGCACACTGAATGAAATACTTAACCATGATCTTCATGGATGCTAATATTCTCCTAGTGAATGGGCACCCAAAGGTTCTGTACTTTTAATTCAATGCACATTTGCTCTATATCTCCACATGTCATTGCCTTTATGGCATTTATTTTATTACAACGTCGTACAAATCACTAGATACATGAAATAGATTTAATCTTACAAAGAAAGTGAAGTGTATCTCTTGCGAAGGATGCAAGGATGCGCTTATATGTATATTGTAAATACTTACCACAATGTCTGCAACTTCCCTGTCAACCCCTTCCATAGCAATCTCCTGAAATCATAGTTACAAATAGGAATTTGATGGAATAAAAACAAGCCTCAAATTCAGCATAAGCAATTTGGTGCCTGTTTACCTAAAAGCAACATACACTTCTAGAATAAAAAGGGATCATAAATTAGAGATAGTGACTCTTTAAACTATAAGGAAACTGTAAATATATGTACATTCCACAGAGTAGACACATGTTCAACTTACAAATCTCTCTCTCTCTCTCTCTTTGCTATCAAAATAAGTATAAGTGAAAATAATCAAGTGTGAATTGTTCAGTGAAAAACTGTAGCAAGTGCCAAAAGGCAGCATTGGTCCCAATAATTAAACAAACACTTTGATTAAAAGGAAAAAGAAGGATAAGCACTTCCTTCAGGTCTCTGTTCAAACAGCAATGTTTGATATCAAGAAATATAAATAACTAGACTTTGGAAATTGAACGAAGTTCAATTTCAGACTCCAGATCTAGACTTTTTTTAGCCGAGTTATCCAGAATAAGCCGAGTCATCCAAAATAAGCTGAGTCATCCAGAAAAAGATGGATGGATGGATGAAAAAGGAAGGAAGGATAGGCTAGAATAGGAAGGAACAATAGGATAGAATAGGAAAGAATAATAGAATAGAATAGGAAGAAGGAATGGAATAGGAAGGATAGGAAGGATAGGAAGGAGAGGATACGAAGGAAAGGTAGTCGGATCGAAATTTGGTTTGCAGCCTCGGATTCCTGAGAAAATTCTACCCTTAATTCATAACTCATATGTTAAATTTGGAGAATTTTTTATTTTGACCTACTTTTCGGACACCATATCTCAAAAGTTGGTCGAAATACTTTCTGACGGCAAAATGCGTACACTATTAGCACACTCTTTCCTACCTGTATACAAAATTTTGAAGCAAATCATTTAAATATAGTGTCAGAATCGCAAAAATAAGGAAAAACTATGATTTTGACCTAGATTGTGACCTAGGGATTTTGGTGTCCAAATTTTGAAGTTAGGTAGCCTTTGAGGTCCCCTTCTTTCATAGGCTTTCATTATTTTAAGCTGTACTTAGTCTATATCTCGAATTTTACACTTCAAAAAAATCGTTTTTCCCATTGACATAACATGGGTCACCAAATTTAGCGATTTTTGAGCTTTCAAAACGTCATAACTTACGGACCGGGAGTTGGATTGAAATTTGGTTTGCAGATTCGGATTCCTGAGAAAATTTTAGTCTTAATTCATAACTTATACGTTAAATTTGGAGCAATTTTTATTTTGACCTACTTTTCGGACACCATATCTCAAAAGTGGGTCAAAATACTTTCTGACGGCAAAAGGCTAACCCTATTAGCACAGTCTTGGCTACATGTATTCAAAATTTCAAAGAATATAATTAAAGTGTAGTGTCAGAATCGCAAAAATAAGGAAAAACTTTGAATTTGACCTAGATTTTGACCTAGGCATTTTGGTGTCCAAATTTTTATGAAAAGAAGGTTATGAGGTCCCTTTCTTTTATGGGCTTCCATTATGTTTAGCTGTGCTTAGTCTATATCTCGTATTTTACACTTCAAAAAAATATTTTTTCCCATTGAATTAACATGGGGCACCAAATTTAGCGATTTTTGAATTTTCAAAACGCCATAACTTCTGAACCGGTAGTCAGATCGAAATTTGGTTTTCAGATTCGGAATCCTGAGAAAATTTCCTATAAGACTGATATCCTGGACATTGGATTCGGAGAACTTTTTTTTGGACCTCGTTTTCGGACACTGATATCTCGAAATCGGTTTGAGATACCAAAAAACTAAATCGACCCTAGCTTTTCTACTTTTTTATGAGGAACACAATGAAAAAAACCCGGATCGAAAATATTGAAGGACGACCGAGAAAATCGAAAAAAGTGACAAAGTACTGGATTTGACCTAGTTCTTGACCTTTGACCTAGATAAAAATTTGACCCAATTTCCGAGGAACTAGATACTGGACATAAATTGACTGAATAATGATCTTTATTGGAAGCCTTATGGTTATCGAGAAAACTGGGAAAGAATAATAAAGAATAAAGAATAATAAGAAGAATAAGAATACTGACGAAAACAATAGACTCCAGATTTACATCTGGAGTCTAATAAAAAACCAAAATGAAACAAGTTGGTGATTATTACTTGAGTCTATAGCCAATACCTTGGCAAGAATTCATCATATTTGGCCCACCATGTACTCTCAGAAAATTGGAATCATAAAAAATGTCACAATGTAGCCTATGGCTCAGGAGTGCATATCACATACTGGTAATTATACCACTCTAAGTCCGATTACAGTTGTATAACATGGGTCTATAACAACGATATACAGTGGAGAGTGGTATATCGTCATCGTATACAACTCCTCCGTATACACTCCAGTGTATACCACTGTAGAAGTGCATTCTGGGAACTAATGAATATTGACCGAAGAATGAGGTGTATGTTTTGTTACCCATGATTTCTTAGAATCAAGTGACGTCATAAATGGTTCCCACATGATTTGCTAGAAACAAGTGACGTCATAAATGGATCTAGATCAACATCGGCATTACTGAGTTGGCTATGGGATATTTTTATGGTTTTTATAATTGTTGTGATTGTGTTTGTCAACTGTAATTGAACTTAGAGTGGCATAATAAGATTATATAATGGTTCGTTCTGTATATCGTGCATTTTATACTCTCGTGAGAATATAATATATTCACTCGTTCGCTTCGAGTATAAACACGATATACAAGATGAACCATTATATAACCTCACAGTATATACTCTACGTGGTAAATATAATATCATTTCGTAATTTTTCAACTTCAAAGAAGGCAGTTAGTTCATAAAATTTTGATTTTGGCTGTAGATTTCTAGTTTAGGCCTAACTTACTTAGTTCAAGTTAAACCTAGTCTGGGCCTTATTTCTTATCTGACATACCTTGTGGCCCTGACTAGGTTTAGGCTGACAAAATGCCTGGTAACAGTAACAGAAGGTATGCAATAAATAACTAATTTGCCCACTTAACACACTATATGAATCCAGATGTACCTATAATTATCCCCAGTAATAACCAGAAATGGCAATAGTAATTATCAATCTAGTATTAGAAAACAATTAGAAACACGCAGATACAAATGGCCAATGAAAATATTTATTTTAGAAATCGGTAAGAATAGCCTCATTATTCTATAATAAACATTTAACAAAAAAAATGCTACACAGAATCGTTTGATGTTAAGTGTTCCAATATTATAGTTAAGTATCTGTCACATATAAATGAGGAACATTGCTTTTATAATGACACTCGCTAGCAAGTCGCTACTCCAGTCTCAGCTGTAGTGCCGAGCCCCTGTGGCTCAGAGGTAGAGTGTCTGACTTGTGAGCAGAGGGACCTGGGTTCCTGTAAGGTACATTGAACTAGTATCTGGCTCCAATCGATCCAAAATAAGTGGTGCAATAAAATTCAGATTTATAAGTTAAGCTAGACTGAGTTTAACTTGTTGAACTTAGGTCAGGGTGCATGTTCGGAATTTTGCTGCAACTCTCAATAGGGTCACATGTTATTTTTCAAATTTGAATCACTCCTTTCCCACAGTGTCTACAACTCTCACTTTTACACAACGAGTGCACTAATGTACCTAGAAAAGAATGCAAAGAAGAATGTTTTGATAAAATGTATAAAAACAAGAAAATTCTGTGAAAAAATTCTGTTTGAAAAATAACATGTTACTCAATTGAGGAATGCAGTAAAATTCCAAACATGCACCCTGGCCTAAAGGCCTAACTAGACTCTGGATCTAGACGACTAGGGCAAAGGGGTGTAACGTCGACATGTGGGGCAATGTCGACATTAGAAATGAGGTAACTTTGACACTTACTTATTTGAATTTAGAATTTCCATTTTCCCCATTTTTGATTTCTAGAAAATGAAATCTATCCATTTCAGAAAAAATGGCTTCCCCCTAGATCAGATATTAGAGCAAATAAACAACGTAGTGCCAAATTAACCCCATATGTCCAAGTTGTCCCAAATTGGTGTCGACGTTAGACTATACCCATTCGCTCTAGTCTCTAGCAAAAGTAAAAAACTTGGATGGAAATTATTGAAAATGTCACAATCAACTAAGATTTTCTACATCTAAAAAGTCACTCGACTTTTTTGTGATTTTGAATAACAGAACACAGAAAGCATTCTGAAGTTTCAAATTGGTGCCACGTTTTATTTTTGGCATCCGCCTAATGTATACCACTTACCTTTTATCGATTCTTTCATACAGTCATTTTTTTTATTCTGGGAATCAGTTCATATGGTTGAAATAAGGAAAGAATGTGATGTAACCACGTGTCTACTTACCGGCTTGTTCTATGTCATCCATCGGACTAGGTTACATCGTGGGACGCAGCCAAACACGACACTGAAGGCAACAGCATATCTATCTTGACCTTAGCCGAATTTTTGGAAATTTAGATCGTCCATTGTGCAAGCTCACGTGACTGACACGTGACACGTGTCTGATCACGTGACCAGTTACTGTATCGATCATGTGACTTAATGACGTGTCACCAAACCATGTCTTCAAGGAAAACGGAAGTAAATATTTTGGAAAATGTTTTCCGAGCATTTGCTACTGATTATAGAAGGCCTAATAACGAATGAAACTGCTAAATTGTATTTCGTGCCTAACAGGCGCAGTACGCAAAGAAAGAAACTGCTAAATTGTATTTTTAGTCTGCTTATTGATCTATTGATTCATAAAGACCTGAAATGATGCATTCAAATAAGACCGCCTCCTAAATGAAAACACTACACCTAAGGTGATGAAAAAGAACGAACTAAAGTTGAAAATCGCAACGTTCGCTACTTTGTTCAATTCCGGAAATCTCCAAGGGGCTGCAAATGGGAAATTATTTAGATTTAGATTTTATAACCTCAGAATACTGGCTTCATTGTCGTGTTTGGCTGTGTTCCACGATGTAACCTAGTCCGATGGATGACATAGAACAAGCCGATAAGTAGACACGTGGTTACATCACATTCTTTCGTTATTTCAACCATATGAACTGATTCCCAGAATAAAAAAAATCACTGTAAGTTTAGTCACAAACTCAGTTTGACCAGAAGTATCTTAGTTGCCGCTCGATTTTTAAAAAAAATGTCCCTTTTCTAATCACCCAGATGTGCGGTTTACCTGGACTCGCACAAAACGAAGGGTGTCAAATGCAAGATGGTAGAGATGAAGACATGTCGCCACTCTCAGAAAATCTATTCCATAATTTCAACATTACTACGCGGTTTTACAGGCGAAAAGGATAAGGGCAGGTTGTATATAGGACTGGACAAGATGAAAATAAATATTCTAAATAGATGACACCCCTTTCGAAATAAGATGAACTGAACATATCACGTCACAGATTTCTTGGAAGAAATTACGTCAGAAAAACAAAAGCTCTGTAGACTAGAGAACTTTGGTTTGAAATGTTGAATACGGTAATTAATAGTTACGTGTACAATATTACCGAGTTCGATGGTGCATAAGTTAGGCGGTGGATCATTTTGTAAGTACGACAATGTGAATTCATGCGACTGTTACTTTTTGGAAGGTTTTTTGCAAAAAAGTCGAGTGACTTTTTAGATGTCGAAAATCTTAGACATCTTACTTTTCTAACTACATAAGCCAAAACCCCAAAATTTTGATGCATACTTTGCGTATAGCTGATATATCTTATGAGATAAACTTACCTATGCGTTAAAGAAAGTATTTGATTGATTAAACTTATAAAATATAAATAATTTGCATCTTCTTAGTTGACCGGATGTTCGAAGCAACTTTCAATGGCAAACTTGTGAAACGAAATTGAATAATTACTTTTGTGAAGAGGAAGTGAAAAGGAATAATATAAATAAAGATGAAATGCAAAACTCAATTATTTTTCAATTCTTTTAATATATATATATAATATAGCTTTTGTTGGTTGAAACTGTATTATTATAAATAATTTATTTCAGCATTCTTCAGCAGTAAAAGTTTGTCATTTGGACGAGTCCTTAATTATTGGAAAAATAAATATGGCCCTCAGCAAAAACTTTCGGATTTACCACAAACTGGAGCCTCCATATAGCGTTATTATGGAGCACAGAAACAAGGAAGAGACGCTGATGTTTGAGTCAAACGCTGTGGCTGTTTTGTGTAAGTAAAAAGCCATGATCCTATATTCAGTGATTGCACTTCTCATTTCCGGGATCTATAATTTTTTCATTTTTTGGGGTTTGACTTGATAGCCCTCCCGAGTGAAGACTACTGTTTGATAATTACGTTATCCTAAAAGTATAAGAGACAGAGCGCTTTTTTAAATAATTGGCTACTTTATCAATATCAGAAAAAAGTAAATGGTTGCCTCTTACTACAGTGCTGATATATAATAATAAAGGGTGCGTTTTCAAACTAAACAGAGTGCTCCTACCAAAATCAATTTGCCAAACCCCTGAGAGTCTTATCTGATAGATAGAATGAACAAATAAAACAAATGTTTTGCTATTATAGGTAAAAAGTTCTCTTGAAATTTCGAAGTGATTTTACCTGTTAATTCTGTCCATGGTCTGCCATTTTTGTGGAAGTTACACTGAAACGCAAACTCCATGAAACGAAACGAAATTACTAGAAAAATATGGCACACATTGTGCGCATGTGTAGCAAAGTTTAAACCAATCAGATTATTTGATTATTTTGGGCACATGAATTATTTGCTTCTGAGCACTTACAAGCTTACCACAATAAACAAACCTGACAGAGACTACCCTTAGCCTACTTCATTTTGGCGAAATTTCAGCTCAAACTCGTGACAAATGCATAATGCATGCGCTGGTGTGAAGCCGTGGAGACACTAATTTTGGTAAATATGATTTATGGTTAGGGGTGAGACGAGTCGAAAAAATCCGATTCGAGTCGAATCCGATTCGAGTCAGAAAATGACGATTAGAGTTTCGAATCCGTTTCGAGTCGCGCGAAGTGCGAACAACATCGCTTTTGACCGTTCGTATTTTTAATGCGTCAATGGTGGAAAGCCGGAAATATAAACAAACACAATTCGTCGTAAGTTTATTCTGATTTTATTACATATATTCTTTCATTTATGTGTACATACAATATAATAATTTAATACAAGCATATCCAAGTCATTGAAACTTATATATTCAACGCAATATCGAGTAAAAACATGCATATTAACAGTATTTTTCTGAATTCTTTTATTTTTTCGAATTTTTTTCTCAACTCGAAAATGATTCGATTCATCAACTTCGACTCGATTCGACTCGACTCGAAGCCCCAAACCCGTGAGTCCTCGACTCATCGGGTTGTCGTCTCACCCCTATTTATGGTGTATACTTTTCTGCAGTTTGTGGGAGTTTGGGACATTAAATGTTGAAAATCAAGAAAATATGCCAATTAAACGACTGATCAATTAATATCCACCAGCACTGTAGTGTTGTCGTGATTAATCGATACATCGTGATATACATCGCTGATTCTGGCGATGCAGACGATGTCTGAAACAAACTATCGATTTTTTAAAAAAAATTAATTTGCTAAAAATCTCCCTTTCTTATCTTATTTTGACACAAGTCGCTTACCTTTCTCATGTCTTATTTCATTTTCCAATGTTTTCTTATATTCTTTCGCTTTAAAACTGTTTTAGCTAGTCGAAATGAACCATTAATCTAAAAAATTACTTTACTTTCATTTCACCGTTACTAGAAGTTCCCGGATGTACATGTACCAGCGTACTCTTATTAATTTGTTCTGTTCGGTATTTTAGTGCATTAGCATTCGGTATTTCAGTGCACTTTTCTCAGACTTTTTCTTGATGTACATCGCGATGTGCATACTATACAAATTATGAAATATCTTTGACCTAAAATACTTGCTTTTGAATATTTTAAGCCCCAATTATAGCTCAGGTTTTCAGGCTCTTGGGGAGCCGATTAGAAGGAGACAATTGAATCTGCCGCATATCCCTGTACACTGTATGATCTATATACAGTATATACCATTTTACTCAGTTCATTTATAATGCTTAATACAACACATTTTTACTGACTTTTTATAGCCTCACTTGAGACGGAGACGGTTAGGAAGCAGTATGCAAAGATATTAGATGCTTATGGCTGCCTTGGTGTTCTGAACATTAACATGGGTGAGTATTAAACAAATACTGGATGACCATGAGGTGGATATGCCAGAATATCTATCCGAGGAAAAAAAAGTATTTTTTTCGTTAATTTCGTGTTAATTTTAAAGAATCGGTCTACTAAAACAGAAGAAGAGCCTAGTATTTTTTTCGTTAATTTCGTGTTAATTTTAAAGAATTGGTCTACTAAAATAGAAGGAGAGCCTAGTATTTTTTTTCGAGGATAGGTATTCTGGCATACGGGATGGTTGGAGATCTCATTGCTTCAATACTGGATAGAACGAGATCTTGCTGCCACTTATGGCAATAGACCCCACAGCTCTTAACCAATCAGATTTGAGTATTTTAATGAGGTGCATAATAAAATAATACTAGGTGCATATGGCTGCCTTGGTGTTCTGAACATTAACATTGGTGAGCATAATAATATACTAGATGTGTAAGGCTACCTTGGTGTTCTGAACATTAATATGGGTCAGTATAATAATATACTAGATGTATATGGATGCCTTGGTGTTCTGAACATTAACATGGGTCAGTATAATAATATATACTAGATGCATTTGGCTGCCTTGGTGTTCTGAACATTAATATGGGCTGGTATAATAGTATACTAGATGCAATGGCTGCCTTGGTGTTCTGAACATTAATATGGGCTGGTATAATAGTATACTAGATGCATATGGCTGCCTTTGTGTTCTGAACATTAACATAAAAAAGTAAATAAAAAAAGTATCTCTTAAAAGGTGACAATAAAGGACAAATGGTTGTAGTAGCAGTCTCACTAAAAATCATCCCCAATATTATTTCAATCAATTAAAATATCTGATATGGAAGCCATTGAAAATTGTATATGTAGAAATGTTCAAATTCATATATCCTTCAAATCATCTAATTCTTTTCAGCACAGATTTTCCTAGCATATCTAGAGTTACAAGTTTCAAGTTATAAGTTACAGTAATAATGAAATTGAGGCATTAACATGCAAAATGTCATGACCTGCCATTTGATACAGACACCTGAATACTGAACACCAACCTTCGAATGCTACGAGTTCACATGTTGTGGTGACATAGAACTGAAACGTTTTCTCATTTGTTATACTATTTCTATTAAAAGATGTTATTTATTTAACAGGGGATGGCACAGTCATGAACAGTGTCCTATACCTAGTGCTTGTGTCGGGTTGTATATCTGTTGGAAAGATTGGCGATTCGGAGATCTTCAGGATAACCAGTACTCAGCTGATATCCCTTCGTAATGCTGCCATTGATGAAGAACGTATCATTGAAGTACGCAAACTTCTGAATTCTGGAACATTCTATTTTTCTTGGTCTGCGACGGGTGTGGCATATGATCTGAGTCTTTGTGCACAGAGGAGGATCCAGGATCACGCGACTGACAACCGATTCTTCTGGTAAGATCACTTCGTCATTGTTGTTTCTATGGAAACTATGACATCACAATATATGAAACTATGACATCACAATATAAGACAAATAATTTTATCTATAATTGTTCCTTCTAGCCCCAGCAAATGATATTCTTTTTCAGGAATAGAGCGTTACATTTACATCTCCAACGTTACGGTGTAGATTGTTCTGATTGGCTACTGAAAACCATGTGTGGGGGTGTGGAAATCCGTACAATATACGCAGCAGCCCGCCAGGCTAAGGCATGTCTTATCTCACGGTTGAGCTGTGAGAGGGCAGGTACAAGGTTTAACACACGGGGAGTGAACGATGATGGCCATGTTGCAAATTTCACAGAAACTGAACAGGTTAGTACTTTGTTTTTATATGAATATATTGGCATGTTTGGTAGATCTATTTACATGTAATGTTATATACAATTTGGAATGGAAAGCATGACAAATCCACTAAAACTCTGAAAAATGTACATAAAGGAATGGCCAACTTAAAGAAGAAGCAGGACACATTTTGAGAATCACACATCTGCGAAAATTTATAGCCGAGAAATAAAAAAACTGAAATTAGCGAAATACAATACCCACTTAAAATTACAAAAACGTGAAATATAATAGTATAAAATATTAGTATAGTATGTAGGTTTTACCAGTTGAGTTAAACTGACCCCAATATCCAAATTTCATATTCATTAATTTATTTATTAATGTTACACAATGATTTATTAACACCAGATGACATGAAAAAGTGTGTCATGACTTTACAAATTCACATAGAATGGAAATGGTGCCTCAACCAACCCCTGCCCCATCATTAAATGAGGATTTTTTCACAAAATAGAAAAAACAATCTTCTTGCACTAAAAACTGAATGCCTAGTCATATTCATTGATTGTACAATTATACAATATTATACAATAGATGGCAAAGAAATCAATATATCTAATTGAGTACATGTACATACATAAATGGTACATTGGATCATAAAAAGGTTAAATTGATATGAGAAGTTTTCATTTTTCCACGTAACCAAATTAGAAAGGTGCAAAGAGTTTGCTCACAGATAAAAATATTTTTATGAGTATCTAAGTGAAATAGATAATACCCATAGAGCCCTACTTAGATTCTGAAGGTTTTGGTTATTAAAGCAAGCCACAACACATTAATATTGCCATTCATTTCAGGTGATTTTCCTTGATGAGCATGTATCCTCATATGTTCA